CTTGCAATTGTAATGGAGAGGTTTGGATATACATGTATGGATTTTTATTCTGACAGAACCTGTAATGTACATGTAGGTCACCTGCTGTTGGGTTGTGTAAGAAGAAAAATCCCTATAGCATAGGCTAGCTATACAGGCCAAACCCAAACCTCTGCTTGGAGATTGCTTCATCCTTTTCGCTCCGCACAAGCTTTAAGAAACGTTACGTAACAAATGCTTCGCTACAAATCAGACATGACGGGTGGCATCATGTTACAGAACACGTATTCCACGCCGTGGCGCGAAATGAATCACGACTATGAACTGCCACATGTGTGGCGACATGTAGCGAGTTGTATCCACATGTAGCGATGTGTAGCAAGGCTCGGACTTTCACACGCCTGCGCAATGCACGACGGGAGCGTAAGTATGAAACAGGTGTAGTGCATACAGGTGGACAGGTAAGACGTCTTAAGGTACATGACGTCACTTGAAGTCGTGGTTTGAGACGTAAAGCTGTGGTCCTTAACGACTCAAGGAACCTTCTTCACTACAAGTCGTCTGTAGCAGTAACAGGTGTCAAGGGTAAGTCACGTTTCTTGACGCGGATACCAGAAAATTGTGGGTGGTGCATTTTTGGTACAGACTGCTGTTAAGATACATAAATGTATATTGATAGTTGCAAGGAGGCCGAATGTGAGGGGGGGGGCGGATTAGATAGCTGTTCTGTGAATTTATTTCTTGATTTGGCTGACACCTAAACTTACGAGGAATACAAATGGCTACATAATTTTATTCAGTAAGTCAATTACTTCCTTCCACATGTATGTTTCAACTTTCTGAGGTATAGAATTCCTAGGCATGATTTTACCATCGAAGTATTGTTTTGTTTTATTTTATACTGTCTTCAACAGTATACGTCCAGTTAAATGTGCACAGTTTTCAGTGTTCGGCCACTTTTACATCCAGCTACATTTGCGTGTCTGTAAAGTTAGTGTGTTTTATGTGGTGGATATTCCGGTTGAGCGAAAAGACTACAGGTAGGTACAAAGCATTGTGGAGAGACGTAACGCTATTAGCCGGGTCAGTCCCTAGCAACAATAGACTTTGGCAAACCTGCGCGGAAAATCAAATTATGTCTCTCTCTCTTTCGCAAACCGAAGAAAAAAAAAGAAACCTTCGACTTACTGAACGGTGGCTTTGTATGAAGTGAACACTCGCTTAATAGTTTGTTTATTTTGTTTCATTCTAAGCTCTTGCCCGAGGGCTCGCTATGGGCATTTAACAAAGAAAAAGAAAGATTATTATGATATCTTTTATCCGATATTTTTCCCTCCTTAAACCTCTTACGAAAATAGCATGGTGGTGTTTTTTGTATCGACGGAACCGCTACGGTAAGCTTCTTGATTGCCCCCTTTGTTGGATAAATCTTTTCTAAATCTCTATAAAAATAGATGACTTTACTTCTCTGTTATCATTCGATTTATGCGGACGGGGTTAATTCTATGCTTGAATTTGGGTTAAGTTAGGGTTAGGGTTAGGATCAGGCACGGTTCTGGATAGTCTCCGCGTATCCAAGAATGTAGATTTGCCCTAGATACAGTTCTGGATAAGTGTGGACTATCCAGAACCGTTCATGAACTTGATTCTGGATAAAGCTCGGTTCTGGATACAACTGGGATTTTACCCTTTCCCATTGGCTCACGAAGATCCATGCTAGCTTGCCATGTTCACCTTTCTCTCTCTCATTCTCACGCGGGAAGTTATTTTCTTAAAAGCATTTCTCGTTTCGTAACACCGAGAAACGAAGAAGCAGTATGTGTGGATAATCCTTATCTGTTTGTGCGCCCGACTTTTCCTTTATGTTGTGTAGAATGAGAGAAATTTGCCGGGGCTAAAAATGGGGTCATCTGCGGCGCAGTATTGTGTGGAGACAGGTAGGGGATAAGAGGCTTCGCGTCCCGTAAACACAGCTACAGCATTCTTCACTTACTGATATTACCTTTAGGAACGGAGATACCGTTCCACAAAAAGGTACTATTTTCGGTATGTATCAGTATGTTCGTGTGTTTGCAGCTATAACTCACAGTGGGTTTGACGGATTTGATTTGATTTATTGAAAGTGCAACAGTGCAATGCACGCGGAACCGAGGCAGCTGTTGCTGGTGTTGTGTCCCACACATAGAAGGCATAGAAACAAATACTGGACAGACAATACTCATTTTTACTTGAGTCTAGTGGGGAAAGTCGTGTAAAGTGCCTTTCCCAAGGGCACAGCCTTTCCCAAGGGCACAAGATCGGTGGCATATCAGGACTCGAACCCGGGACCTCTTGGTTCCAAGTCGAGCACTTTGCCGCTGCGCCGCACGACCTCACAAATCGTATTTGATTAATGGCTAATTGATATTGATTAATTGCGGGGTTAATTACGTATATCACCTACAACATGCGTCACGTACAAGTATCGTTGTAACTACCGTGTAGTTTCTCCGTTATAGTTATGTCTCAGTTCCACACTTTTGTCTTACATTTCGAACACCGAGGCGAGGTTCGCAAGAGAAAAAAAAACGTTTGTTTGCTTAGTCCTTACCGGTCCTGGATGCAGAAAAGTGCTTGACTAATAGCCGTGAAGAAGTCCTTCAGGCAGACCGGCAGTTAGAGTTGCGGCATTTCTCAGGTGAGTTCTTGGCTTGTTATATCCAGAACTGTGCTTTATCCAGAATCCTGTTCAGGCACGGTTCTGGATAGTTCACACGTATCCAGAACCGTGCCTGGGACACATCTATGTTCTTGGATACGCGGAGACTATCCAGAACCGTACCTGAGCTTAACCCTAACCCATTCTGGCATAGAACTAGATAGGCACGGTTCTGGATACGATAGAGACTATCCAGAACCGTGCCTGATCCTAACCCTAACCTATTCAGGCATAGAACTAGATAGGCACAGTTCTGGATACGATATAGATGGGTCACTTTTTTCATACTTCAAAAGCCGATTGTTGAGAAAAAAAGTGTTTTCTAAGTACCTACCTGTGTTGGATGTTGAGAAGCGTACCACAGGCAAAGTCGTTTGGACAGAAAGATAGTTACCGCTAGCTGCCTACGAATTCCAGTCTCACTGGCAACTGCCTTTTTGAAAACGAGCATGTCATTTAGCATGTAAGCAGCGTCTTTGTTTTACAAGCGAACCGGTTACTTGTTTCTAAGAGCAGAAGAATTTTACCGCTGGGTTGAATTTGTATAATACTGCTAGAAACGATTTTTCTTCTCATTGCAATTAAACACGTCGCTTTCTTCTGGTTCGAATCGGACCGAGGTCCGGTTGCGCTTATTTTGGTCGTGCTCGATCGGGAGTTGCCGTGTCAGGCGGCGTAAGCGGTGGGCTTTGTCGGGCAAGCGAACCGTGGATCTGCGGCAGCTCGCCGCGTAACTTCTACCCTGCGTCCCATGACGACAGCGTGAAGCCAAACTAAGAATGTAGCAGGCCAGGGGAATTGGCCGGCCATAGGGAGTCCACTTTGCCAGAGTCT